CGAGCAGAGTCAGGCCTGCCCCGGCGCTGGAAGCCCTGAGCCAGCGCGTCTGCCGGCGGCAAGGCGAGGAGGAGGAGCAGGGCGAGCGCGGGGAGGGGAGCGGGCTTTGTTCCCGCAGAGCCGGAGGAATGCACGCTGCCTCGCACTGCTCCCCGGCTTCAGGGAAGCGGTACGGGGGCAGCACCAGGCTCACCGGAGAGACAGCAGCGGTACAAAAGCAGGCCTTGTGATAACTTATCTCCCAGCACTCATCCTCGGAGAATGACACTGAGGGTCAGAGGAGACCCTCAACATCCAAAAGTGCTGGCTGCGGCACATGAACAACCCCAAGCACAGCCACAGCGAGGATCCTCAGCGCCCTCTGTTCCTCACACGCCAGCTGCGCATCCACCAGGACACTCGGCAGCACCCTACTCGCAGTCAACCCAGTGGTGAACCAAGGGCCCAAAACCAGGAGGTCCCCCATGGCACCACCTCTCTCCCGCTGCAAGCGTGCTGGGGGCTGCGCCGTAGGGCAGTACTCGGGCCAAGCTGCTGCTGGAGCATGTTTTCCATGTGCTCAGTCTGCACATGGGGCGAAGGCACAGTGCTCAGTACCCAGCTGAGGGGAGCAGGCTGGATCCCATGTGGCTCGTGCATCAGCAAGGGCATTTCAAGCTTTTGCTTGCACTTTCTGCCCTGGGCAAAACAAGGTGCCTGACAGCAAGCAGCCTGTGCCATCGGGATCCCGTCTGCGAGCCTGCTGCTGCTAGGATTACAAAGGATAGCAAAGACCGAGCAAAAACTCTGGAACAGGTAGGACAGGTAATTACAGACCCAGAGCCTGCTGTAGCCCAGGGCTGGCTCCGTACCAAGTAGCAAAATTCAGTTTGAGAATCCATCATCTGAACTTTGTCTCAGCAGAAACGCAACAAGCACAGCCCCCTTCCTTTCCCCCAGCCAGGAGCCGCTTCAGAGTTCCTGCATGGGGCAGCACGCACAGCCCAGAAACTCGGGCATGAGCATTTTGGGGGGGCACAGACAAAAACTACCATTGCTCAGCTCACCCAAGTCCTTACAACGGGTAGTATCAACCCACCAGCACGGAGAGACAACGTTCCCAAAGCAGCTTAAAACACAGCACACATATCTTTGCAACATGCCTCAGGTTTTAACAAGCTCTTACTTAACCAGCCTGATTTCACCATGGCTGTGGGTGACAAGAAATCTGGCTGTACACGCAGCAAGGCTCCTAGGAGCGCGGGTCAGTGCTGCTCCCGATCGCCCCGCAGGAACGGCAGACCATGCCCTGCTTGCAGGTGTTCTGCAATACCGTGCCGTAAGCAAAATGCTCTTCCCCTTGCTCACAAGCTCTGATGCTTTTCTGCAGATGGAGGTGGCTGTGGTTTGAAAACTCCCAACTCTCACTGTTGCTGCAGAGAAAAACCAGCAGAGCCAGAAATTACAAACACAGCAGCAGGCAGCAGTATTTCCTGGTCTAGTCCGGTTAGCAAACACCGAGCAATGACCACACATTTTAGGCAGAATGAGGAAGAGCCCCTATAATGGGACACAACCTCTGCGATCACAAGGGGACTTTGCTGGCAGATCTTTAGCACAGAAATATAGATCTCACCCCATAAAGGTCATTTGTGAACGGTCTTTTGCAACGTTTTTTTTCTAGTGAGAAGTGCCCAGGGGCATTCAGAGGTTCAGGAGACTAAGGCAAGCAAGGCCCACCGACATGGCACCAAGTGTTATGAGACTAAGGCAAAACCAGGAATGGAGGCCCGGCTATTTTTGCAGAGGACGCGCGAAGGGAGAATGCGATCTGTGACAATCACACCCCTCCAGAGAAAGCCTGTTCTTCTCTCCAGCAAATCCCTGAAATCATAACCTGCCTGTGGATACCACAAGCGTCAATACACACTGTATATTGAGCCATCCTTAATCGAGCTGCCATACAGTACACCTGCTACAACACACTGCACACAAAAGGAGAAAAGTGCAGCAAAGCGAAGCTGTGAGGGAACAGAATGGCAAAAATAAAACCAGATGTCAAGATTTCAACTGTGAGCAGAGTTCTGCAGAATGAACCACCACCAAAGCCTGGCAGACAGCATTTCTCTACACGATGGTCCGTGAGTGGCCTTACCTGGAACAGACACAAAAGCAGGCACAGAAGTATCAGAGAACGACACACCTGGGCAGTTTATCAGTGCAGAAATCCCTGACGACTCACCTGCGTGAGGAGAGATGACAGGCACGCGTGTGTGCATTTCTTGGAGTCCACCTAAAGGATTGTGAATGACATGTTCAACAAAGTTCTCTAATGCCATGGCCTATAGCCCATATTTTAGACAATCGGATCAGGAAGAGCGAGAAACCTTTCAATCCGCAGTCCCAGCCAATTAAAGCGGCAGTCAGAATGAGCAGCAGCTTGGGGCAGGGAAAAAAGGAAAAAAGAAGCAACTGCAATTCCTTTTTTTTTTTTTAATTAGCAAATAGACAGTATCTGGACATCTAAAGGAAATCAGCCCTTTCCAATGTTAACTCAAATGTCGTTGTCAATTATTTGCACCACTCCCACACTTCAGTCTTTGTCTTTCATACAGCCAGAACCTTTGGGTAAACAAAGAGCACAGAAACACAAAAAAAATACAATATATACAGGCTTCCCACCAACGAAATGGACTTATATTTTTGGAGATTAGCGACGCTTTGTTCATTTGACTTTGCAAGTAATATCAAAACATCTCAAGTTTTAAAATAAAAAAATACTACAATATTCACATATAAAACTTAAATACATTTGTTTAAAAATTAAAGGACTGCTAATAGCTATTGATTTATCACAGCTGTCTCTTTCAACAGAAGCTCTGCTGATGAAGCACTGAAAATTTAAGGTTCACAAAGCGACAGTCACATTCTGCACTGCTCCTGGTCAGAGTTAAGACGCTGCCACGCTCATGAGACGGTGCCACTGGAGACTCGTCCAGGAGTTCAACTCAAACATGTCCCACTGACGGGGCACAGCAAGGTCACAGAACAAGGCAAACACCCATGTTCAGTGGGGCTGCCCCCTTCCCGAGAGCAGAAACGCAAGTCCACATATCACCATCACATGCACCTCTTATCTAGTTGTCTGCATTCCCAGCTCGAGCTCTTCAGTTCATGGCTGGGTGAACAGAGTGGAAATGACTAAAAGGTACGTGACATTTCCTCTCCTCTGCTATTCCGTCCCTGCTAACGTACTCCTGTGTTTTATTAAATAGTCATTGAATAAAGTGACTGGAGAGAGAAAGCTCACGGGTCCGTCTCCTCTCTGGTGTAACTCTGCAGAGTACAACGGAACTGCACCAATGGGGACTCTGCCCCACCGTGCTGAGTGTGCAAGCTTTACACAAACAGGGCAGACAAGGGAGCAAGAATCTACAAAGGAGAAATTCAATCCACCCTTACGCAATCTCATCCACGATAAAAGAGATCATTAAGTGTGCTTGAAAGGCAAGAGAATCAAATTTTGCCTAGGAAATCCGGATTCCGTGATGGAATCCAGGTTTGGTTATTTCATTTTCACTTCACCATTCAAAGGAAGCATAAACTAGGACAGACAACAGCTACAGTATTTCTCTCTTTGGTAACTTCTGTAAAAGTCTCTAAGCAATGGGTACATCTTACAGTAATCATCATAAAAGCCCGATAAGATCCTGTAGAAGTTTCATAGATTGAAAAACTGGGGCATGAACAGAGAAAATAGCTTCCCCAAACTTAAATGGGGCCTTTGGGAGGGCAAGAAAGACTGCACAGGAACTGGATCCCTCAGATTCCTGCTCTAGCCACACAACAGTGCCGCGGTGAAAGCGGATCCCAGATACACAAGCTGAATCAATAACTTCTTATTACAGACAGAAGGTCTGGAGTGCGTTTTAGGGTATTTCTTTAAGGCAAAAATGGGTGTATACTAGCTGAGGAGACAGGCAGGCTTGGCAAATAGTCCGAAGGTGGACCAAGTAGCTGTAGTACTTTCACAGTCAAGTGGCTCTGTGGGTCAGTTTAAAGAGGATTTGGATCCTATCACTTCTGGTCACATGCTACTTTTAAACCTGGCTCAGGTAAGCCGCAGCCTTTCTTGTGACAGAAAACTACCTGTTGTGTAAAATGTCTTTGCTTTTGTTTAGTTCCTTATAAATAAGGTTTCACATTCAAAGTTAGTTTCCATAACCAGCTCCCCCCTCATATTGCAGAAAGACTCGGCTGATATAACAGGGGCTGAAGAGGCAGCAGAGAACCCAACCGCTCCTTCCAGCTGAAGACACGGTTTCCTCAGAACAGGCTGCAGACAGTCTCGAGGCAGAACAGCAAGACTGGCATTGCCACGTTTCATATTTTACCTGTTCTTTGTCTTGAGTAATAGCGTAACCCGGTGACCCAGTCAGCATGTAGACCAGCAAAACAAGGAAGACCAACAATACAGGAAGTCCTGTATATCTCTGCAATTTCCAACAACGTGATAAAACAAGAGCACTGAACAAGAGGTTTGTCCAAAGTGATCTAATGCTGCCATGAAGCACTGTTTCAGGGTTGAAATCTCAAGTACCTGCCTGAAAACCTAACTACGCAGAGGCAGAAAACCACACTTCAAAAAGTATCCACTACCGAGTCACCCACATACAGCTGTCACTAAAGCAGCTTGCACGGAGCATATTAGAAATGTGCATCTTCCTTAGATTTCTGGAATGACAACCAACTAGCTGCATATAGTCTCCCCAGATGAAAGACTGTTGATAGCTGCTAATTGAAGGCTGCGGTAATCTTGAAGTCCACCACAAAAGCATTATGCAACTGAAGCCTGCAAAGGAATGGGAGGAGAATAAGCTTTCTTCCAAACCAGTGATGGCATCCACCACAAGTAGAGTTTTTGGAAGTGGATCTCAAATAACCATCAGGCCATGGATCCAATTCCAGTAAGTAAAAAGGCAGGAATTAATGAATTGGTAAGAAACAACCTGAAACCATTCCTGCCTTGGTTTCACATAGTGCAGACCATAGGCTGGTTTATATAACTCTTCTGTCATTATACTGCTTGATGCTCTGAAAGGGTTAAATTCTGATCTTACTCGGTGACTGCATCCTTTCAGCTGAGATAAATGGACTCACAGGCAAAGGGACCACTGGGAAATACATATGCCATGCTGTGACAACAACATGCCTCCAACTAAGAGGACGGCTTGAGGTCAGCTTTCACTTCCTCAGCCTTCTGCTTCTCTTGCTTTCATGTCACTGCTGCTAAAATTGGTTCAAGGGCACTTGAGACTTCTAGTAGAAAAGATTTTTCCCCTTGCGTCAAAACCCAAAAGGTTTAATATTTACTATGACCACACAAAAGTAGAATCTGAATGTGAACTGGAAGTTAGTGTTATCCGAGTACCATTATTGGGGAGCTGAGAAAATAAAACAGTCCAGACTTCCTGCTTAAGGGCACATCTCCATTTTGCCAGCAGCTGCAACAAAGCATACAGTTTATCATGCTTGAAAGCTGCACAAATACCCATCAGGGAAGAGAGATTACTCTCCTCTAAAATATACTTTTTGGTTGGAGAAAAAGAGATTTGAGAACAGTTTTCTGGCTTCACCAAGAACCACTACTCCCTGTTTTACCTTTAGAAACAAGGAGGCAAGCTGAAGTTTTACCTGGAGAATATTAACACATTAAAGTCTGACTTAACAACTGAATTCTCTTTAAAACCTCATCCCTATTCAACTGTAGTACGACAGAAATTTCATTAATTGGGGATTGTTTTCCTGAAGTGACATGAGAAAAAGCTGCCCCTAAACGTCATTTCAAGTGATCATCTTCATCCCCACCTGAGGGGTCTGGGGACAAGGGAAGACACTAAAACCAGTCTGATAATAATACTCAGCCCTTTGGGCTTTTCTTCTTCCAAGTGCTTTGCAAAGAAAAAGCCTCACCACATCCCTGTGAGGTAGGTCAGTAAGTATTATTATATTCCCTTAATACAGATATGGAAACTGAGGCAGAGAAGTTACTTTCCTGAAGGCCACTGCAGGAGCCTGTCTCAGAGATGGAACCGGGAGACAAGACTCCTCAGTTCTCAGAGAATTTCCCTTTCTCCCCCGTATCTCCCCTCTTCCCCATACGAGTCTTAATGGAGAAATGAGCAACAGAGAAGGGGGCTACAGTGCCACATTTCTGACAAATAGCAGGACTCCTAGTACTACTCCACATACTCCAAAAAGGATTATTAAATATACAAGTACCTTAGAATTAATGGCAAAATGACTGCACACAGTATAAAGAAGCCAACATACAATACAAACCTAGCTTAATAAATAAGTAAAGACATGCAGCTGCAGTTGTGACTGAGTGCTGAGGGGTCCTCAGCTCAGTAAGGTCCCAGATGCCAACGGGTAAGCCCATGTCATTCCTGTGACTCTACTGCCACGCCAACGAGTGCGTGTCTGATAGTGCGACCATGGAGTTTATAGCCATCCTGAGTCACCAGTGCTATTGTGCCCGGCTGCATTCCCTCCGCTGGTACATGGCAGACTATTTCATGGTCATATGGATCATATTTGCCACCAACAGGGTTCATCTTCTGAAGGCCATGTTTGGCAAATACACTTTGCAATTTGGCCTCTATGAGAGAGAGGCCTTCATAGATTTTCTTCAGGGTTGGATTTGGATTACTAGGCTCCGCTTCTTCTGCGGCACTCTCAGCAGTCTTCTCCAAGATATCTGCTACCTCCACAAGGTCCCTGCAGAAACTCTGGATCCCTACAGGCACAAAGAAGCAAGAAGTAAATGAAGGGCAGTTTACAGAACATACAGAGCTACAGTACCAATGACAGGCACAAAGTCATGTCAGTTTGAAAGCACCTTTAAAGCTGCTAATTGATTTGAACCATTACTTTCGTAAGCACAGACAGTGTCTTCTGTATCCTGTAGCCAAAGCTTTATCATTACATGGGTAGTAATCTAAAGACTCCCCAAATCAAGGTATATGCAGGAAAGGTACATCTATACACATCTACACCCTCCCCTCCCCCCCGCCCCCTACACTTCACTCCAAAAAGTTCTTGCAACTAAGATGTGTCATTTAGGACACTGTTCCACATTCTCTCATACAGTCCCACAGACATAAATGTTTTGCCAAGCAACTCACATAAATGCCCATGCACACGGGGAACAAATGCAGTGGGGCAAAGTAAAAATAATACATGACTACTCAAAGGTACATCCACAATTTTATTCATAAGTTAAAACCATTGTGGAAGGACTGGTCAAAATGGTCCTTGGCTTAGTCATGAAAAGTCATGCAGTCTTTTTCATTAGAAAAATGGGTTTAGATCAGATACATTTCCACTGTATTACACAGTGGAGAAATTTCAGGAAAACCAGCCTCCCTCAGCTATATAGATGCCCTAACCAACTTACTGGAAAGACACATTAGGAAAAGAGAGAAAGAGAAACAATAGTTTGGTGCTGTCTATACCTGTACATACATGTTTAAACATGCACAGAACAAAGAAGCATGAAGGAGAAGCAACAAAAGAGCAGATAGAAGCAGACCAATTACCAACCATTTCACAGAATCATAGAATCATCTAGGTTGGCAAAGACCTTTAAGATCGTTGAGTCCAACCGTAAACCTAAGACTGCCAAGTCCACCACTAAACCATGTCCCTAAGCACCACATCTACACGTCTTTTAAATACTTCCAGGGATGGTGAGTCAGCCACTTCCCTGGGCAGCCTGTTCCAATGCTTGGCAACCCTTTTGGTGAAGAAATTTTCCCTCATGTCCAATCTAAACCTCCCCGGTGCAACTTGAAGCCATTTCTTCTTGTCCTATCGCTTGTTACTTGGGAGAAGAGATCAACGCCCACCTCGCTACAACCTCCTTTCAGGTAGTTATAGAGAGCGATGAGGTCTCCCCTCAGCCTCCTCTTCTCCAGGCTAAACAACCCCAGTTCCCTTTTCTTCAAATCTGAAGCATACCACACATAAAATTCAAAGAGCTCAAAAAAACCCTCTCAAAACCAATGGTGCTGATTATCCCAGAACTCAACAACCATTTTACAGCACAATCGGTAGAACGGTAAGAAAAATAGAGCAGCTCTAATTTCAAAGCTACTGGAATTAACTAGCAAAAAACCTTTTGAGATTCATGCATTGTGGAGAATAACAGTTTCTCATTCTCAGAGATGGTGCTGGCAGAGTGCAATGATTAAACAGCAGTTTCTTCGCCCTTCACCTGCCTCCATTGCCAAAGCTAAAAATCCAGCTCACTTCATGAATGCTAAAATATTTATTATAAAAGTTTTAAAGAACATTTGATATAGGAACTGACAACCTTTGTCCCAGGCAGGATCTACCTCCTAAAAGCTAGAGCAGAAGAGAAGAGGCTGTTAATACAGTAAAGGAAATCACAACCTGATGACACAGCTAAGAGTATGAAATACACCCTGCCAGAGCCAATTCTCAGCATACAGAAGAACTTGTAATTTCAACCAAGTCAGTAGAACTACACTCAATTGCACCAGGCCTATTTTATTAGAAAAAAGGTCACAAAACAGTCACTGAGATAAACCTGATAGGACACAGCTGGACATACAGACAAAATAGCAAGTAAGCCCAGACACCAACAGTGCAGGCCAAACGTCATGCCAGACTTTACAATGAACAAGGGCAGGATGAGGGAAGAAAAAAGCTGTTGATCAGCATTTTATGCTCAGGCAGGCAGGCCACCGCAGTAAACACAGCTCTGCCTCACTTTGCTTACCAAAGAGCTTCGCATCTTCCACAAACTTCTGCGTTCTCCTTCGGACATTCTCAGAATCTGCCAAAGCTTTCCGGTATCGCTCCTGTAACCGCAATAGCAAGGGGAGACATCAAACAAGGAGGTAAACCCCATTTCCTGACAAGTTGGCAATCCCTTAGAAACACTTTAAGAGGAGCCCCCTTCACGTCAGAAGCTTGTGCTGGGCTCCTGCATTTTCATTGCATGCAAACCCAAGTCCCTCTCCTACTGATTAATCAGCACAACTGCAACTCCCTCAAAAGACCCAAGTGAAGGTCAGAAGCATTCAGGGCGCAGCTCAATTGAACACCGCGTTGTCAGGATGCTGCTTTTTGCATGACTCACTGCGGCTACTGAGACACTCCTTTCTCCAGCAGGCAAGTTGGCGGTCTCAGCAACAGATCTGCAACCAGCTGATTTATCACTTGGTGCGGTAGTACTCTCAAGGCGATTATCTCCAGAATTGCCTGCCCAGTGCTGCAGTATTTAATCCTCCTATTAGTCACATCTGTTTTTCAAAGTCCCTATAACATGATCCCTACCATTTCCACCACACCACTGTCACTAAAGAGGACCTTCCTTCTCAATCTGGATCCAGTGCGACACCATATGCGATGCTAATCAGGACGCATCTACTGCCGTTCCCTCTGTACAATGCTGTGAAAGAATTGACCAGGCCATCTCCAACATACAGTTTTGCCTGCCAGGATCATACTGTCAGTGTCTTGCTCCTAGGTACTACTAACAGATGGCATTTCTGGGGAAGGCAGACCGTACTTTCACAGTGCGCCCTCTCACACTTAGAGCACAGCTGCTTTGAAGGCTGCCATAGCAAAGCGGCGTTGTGTGCATGTTACAGGGCTTACAGAAAAAGCTAGGGCTGAAAGACAGACCAAGTCAAGGGGACTGAACGAAAGACATCATGATGCCACCAGCAGCACACTCACAGTTAAATCCCGGACTTGTTCTTCCAATTTGATGGCTTTGTGCTCTAAGGCACAGTCAGAAAGGGGATGCTTGGGCTCATCACGGGGATCTTCTGGGCCACACTCATCTCCTGTACTTCTCTGCTGAGCTGCAGTGCTGAAAACACATGGGGACCCCCTGAAATACAAACTAGTGACAAAGAAGGAAAGTTAAGTAACAACAGGGTCAAAAAGAAGAATTCTAGTTTAGCGTCATTACTAAAAGCAGGCTCACTTAAAAAAGGTACATAGGATTCTAGATAAAATTTTAGCTCTTTTCAGAAAATACGGACAACTAGCACAGAAATACAAAGAGACAGATGTTTTGAAAAATTCTTTTATTTTAGACTCACATGTTACTACAGAGGCTGTACACCACTTCTTTGGCATACCTTGAAAAGAGTCACATTTTCACAGGAAAACAAGTTGTGGGTTGCATTTTTGCTGACCTCCCAGTACAGGTGATCAATACTGGATGACAAACTTCAGAAACATTTTTGCAAGGTAGTCTTGAAAAGGAGGCAGGTGATATAAAGCTTTTTTTACAGTTATTTAAAAACCCCCAAATGTTCTGAGCAAAATTCAGTAAGATCTGCAAACTCATGGCACTTAATAAGATAGCAGGCTAGGCTCTGCCCGCCTACCTAAGATGGTACAGTGACCACAAAAGGGCAAGTCGCACCAGTGGAATGGCTGTGGATTTCTGTGGAGTAATTCAACAAGCAAGGAAAGACAAACATCTCAAACTGCTGGCTAACGGAGGATCCAATTCTTGGATGTTCTGACCTGTTTGTTCTCCTGGGTGCAAACAGACATAGTATTTGGTGTATTCAGTTTTCTTCCTATTGAGTGAAAAGGAGGAGAGTTTAAACTTTTTGCCAATCGGTTCTTCTCACAAAGTAGCAATCGCTAGACTGTACCCAGCTTTCATGTTCACTGCACAAAGAACAGTTAAGAAACCAAAGAGAACTGTCAGAGACATGACCAAGTTGTGTGCAGCTCAAATATTCTGAGGCCTTCCACCGGGACCTTCACAGCACCGTTAGCTGTGTTTGGAAAAGGGACTGCCAACCCTGGAGAGACTGTGGCTCATAGATAAGGCTCCACTTGGAGCAGGTACTCCCCTAAGGGACTGCAGTCTGTGAATAAGTCCAAGCCGGAGCAGGGGCAAGGGGAAGAGTTCATTGCAATGTTAAATCCTATGGTCTGGCCGAAAGGGGCCAGGGTGGAGATTGTAATGAAAATACCTTTAAATTGTTGTAACCCGGGATTTGAGTTGCATGTTATGGGAATTACTATAGCAGGAATCCCTTGTGGCTAGCCAGGCTAGGAGTTCATTGCAATGTTAAACCCTATAACCTGGCCCAAAGGGACCAGGGGTGGAGATTATAATGGAAATACCTTTAAATTGTTGTA